TATTTTTCAAGTAAAAATGTGCCCCAAACTAGTTAACTGTGGCTCCATGTCAAGTGGACTAAAGAAAGGAAGGGGGGAAAAATCAAATCGCTGGAGAATTGTTTATTTCCATTTATACAACGTTTACATTCAATACAGGGTGCCATTTTACATTGTTTATTTATTTTTTTAGTATCAAGGCTGTAACATAAAGAGAGCCAGTTCTTACCACAAACCATCTTTCAATCGCAAATATTGCAAAAAGGATTAATATATCCTCATTGTGAACGTTTAAGACAAATAGCAACACTTAAAAACAACTTCCGAACTGGAAAAAACTAATATCCGCGATGAACATCTATTTAAATACCGGACGAGGTTATCTCTGCTTTCTCAATGTCCATATTGCTAGATATGCTGAGTTTTAAGGCGAAATCCTGGGGAATGTCGTCTAGAAATGCAATTACCCTAACCGTGCGCGATCCCGCGGTGGCTAATCATTTTTTGGCAGCCAGTCGATTTATGGCACAACACCGGCGCAGTGCGCCTGGTTCCAGTGTTAATCAAGTTAAATTATATTTCTTTGCAACAATTTTCACAAGAAAACAGAACAGTTAAAAGCAGGGCTTGTGTTGACCGGATAGTTCCCATATTTGACCGTTTATTTTGATGGAGAAAGAATAGAAAGAATTACCCGACGCATGCAGACGAACTGACACTTTATTCGCTATGCACAATCACAGATGTAGCTAAATCACTCAAGAAAAGATTTCCTTCTGAACATCTGAGCTGGACACTGCTCAGTGCAGCTCACTGTCAGCGTGTACGTAAGGTGCACAGCGAGCTGAAGATGTGGAGAGGGGCTTGGAGCGCGTTGCAGAACCAGAGCGCATGCAGGTAGATTCCTCCCACTGAAGCGAGCGTTTTCCAAACCCTGTCTCTCAGAGAGACTTGTCACTTAGAAAATGTTCCCTGATTATGAAACTTTGTCTGAAAAGTGCTTGTTCCTGTCTCCAATGTGGCGACACATCCATGAGCCTGTCTAAGGAGAGTCCCAGAATCTCTCATCGTCTTCAGCTCAGAAAGCGCCTATATGATTACGCACAAGCGTGACCCATCAACCCGGTCTCACAGTAAGACCGGGTTGGAACTGTTCAGGTTTACGCAGACAATCTTTACATTTAGAATTGGCATACAGATATAAAATTAATGCAGTAAAATATAAAGCTTTTCAGTTAAATATCCATTCATTATTTTACAAACACAGAGAGCCGCATCAGATGGATGGAGGAGCCGCATGCGGCTCCAGAGCCTCGGGTTGCCGACCCCTACCCCAGAGGAACTGGCCTGCAGTCCGGGCCTCTCAGCTTAGGTTGCTGCTCCCGAGACCTGACTCTGGATAAACATATATGAAAATTGATGGAGGGAAGGATAAATAAACAAGGTTGGATTTTGTTTTAAATAAATGTGTCATTTTTGGAGAAAGTTTCAGCTGAAAGGTAAAAAATCTTCCTAAAATCTCCTGACATCAGCTCAGAAATAACCTTTCTCTTTTCTGATGACAATTAGTGATGTGTTTATTACTTTTCATTAACTCTTAAGAAAAACATTCAGAATTCAATCATCTTTGTACTTGAGCACAAGAAGGTAATTCCAGCAAAACACAGCTTAATACTTTATAATGTTAAATTTTACTAGATTCACCTTTATTCATTTTTCTAAGCCAACTAAGAAAATGTGAACTCCATTTGATTTTTTAGTAAACTAATTGTGGAAAAAGTTTTTTTTTCACAATCTGCATTTAAGAAATTAATCCACTTCAATTGGAAGACTTAATTTTTTTATTAATGAGATGCAGAGTTCAGTAAAAACCTTTGATTTGCATTTAAAGCTTTACACAGAATACACATGCAGAAAAAGACACAAACGCCACGTCTAGCTTTTTTCTCACACCTAAATGATTATGAATTTACTTGTCACCACTTTTCAGTCTGTAGTGAATGTTTGGATTACATAATGGTTGACTGTGTCAGCAATACATAGTCTTCATCCAGCAGTACATATAGAATTTCTAAATACATCCCTTTTACTAAAAAATTGTGCAAAGAACTTAAAATATATATTTTTTCATTATATTTATATTCATAGTTGCCGTCTAGGCTTACATCCTACAGCAGGAGGTTGTGGTTTTACTTAGCAGCTTCTTTTTTGTTCCTCACACATCTATAAGGAGAAAAAATTGCACAAATTTATTCTTTCTGTGATACTTTTTAAAAGCTTCCTCTGGGCGAACTCGACCACTTTGCTCGGATCACCTGCTGAGTTCAGTATCCATCTGAAGATGCTTGAATGAACAAAGTCGCTATAATCTGTTGAAAATCATACTTAGAAAGATCTGAGGGAACGTCGACTGTATTCATGTATTGGTAAAATCAGAGAAAACACAGAAATAAATGATGACTCTTTTCTACCAACTGTTTAAATGTACAACGGCATCCATGTACTGGCTTTCTATCTTGAATTCACACTTGGTTACTTTTTTTGTAAATCGTTTAACAAGAACTATTTCCAAATTATAACCAAATATCTCAGCTCAATGACTTAGTAGCTTTGTTCCCTCATTAATCCACCCATTTTCTTTTCCTTTGAATGTTGTCGAGAGTTGCAGGGAGTCAGTTCCCGTCTCCAGCACTGGTCAGGTTTCTGGTCCATCACCAGGCCTCTGAATATTCACTGTACATCTCAACAGGTATTGATCAAATCTACCTGATTTTTCCTAGGGAGTGGCAGACCGGGGTGGTGGTCCCCATCTTTAAGAAGGGTGACCTGAGGGTGTGTTCCAACTATAGGGGGATCACACTCCTCAGCCTCCCTGGAAAGGTCTACGCCAAGGTACTGGAGAGGAGGGTCCGATCGATAGTTGAATCTCAGATTGAGGAGGAGCAATGTGGTTTTCGTCCTGGCCGTGGAACTGTGGACCAGCTCTATACCCTTGCAAGGGTGATGGAGGGGGCATGGGAGTTTGCCCAACCAATCCACATGTGCTTTGTGGATTTGGAGAAGGCTTATGACCGTGTCCCCAGGGGCACCCTGTGGGGGACGCTCCAGGAGTATGGGGTGGGTGGCTTTCTGTTAAGGGCCATTCAGTCCCTTTACCAGAGGAGCGTGAGTTTGGTCCGCATAGCCGGTAGTAAGTCGGACCTGTTCCCAGTGAGGGTTGGACTCCACCAGGGCTGCCCTTTGTCACCGGTTCTGTTCATCACTTTTATGGACAGAATTTCTAGACGCAGCCGTGGTGTGGAGTGTGTCGAGTTTGGTGGCAGGAGAATCTCGTCTCTGCTTTTTGCGGATGATGTGGTCCTCCTAGCTTCATCCAGCTCTGACCTTCAGCTCTTGCTGGGTAGGTTCGCGGCCGAATGTGAAGCGGCTGGGATGAGGATCAGCACCTCCAAATCTGAGACCATGGTTCTCTACCGGAAAAGGGTGGCTTGCCGACTCCGGGTCGGGGGAGAGGTCCTACCTCAAGTGGAGGAGTTTAAGTATCTCAGGGTCTTGTTCACGAGTGAGGGTAGGAGGGATCGGGAGATCGACAGGCGGATTGGTTCGGCGTCTGCAGTGATGCGGACGCTGAGCCGATCTGTCGTGGGGAAGAGGGAGCTGAGCCAGAAAGCCAGGCTCTCGATTTACCGGTCGATCTACGTCCCAATCCTCACCTATGGTCATGAGCTTTGGGTAATGACCGAAAGAACGAGATCCCGGATACAAGCGGCCGAAATGAGTTTCCTCCGTAGGGTGGCCGGGCTCAGCCTTAGAGATAGGGTGAGGAGCTCGGACATTCGGGAGGGACTCGGAGTAGAACCGCTGCTCCTCCGGATCGAAAGGAGCCAGTTGAGGTGGTTTGGGCATCTGGTCAGGATGCCTCCTGGACGCCTCCCCGGGGAGGTGTTTCGGGCATGTCCTGCCGGCAGAAGGCCCCCGGGTTGACCCAGGACACGTTGGAGAGGTTACATCTCCGATCTGGTCCAGGAACGCCTTGGGGTCCTGCCGGAGGAGCTGGTGGACAAGGCCGGGGAGAGGACGGCCTGGAGCTCCCTAATTGGGATGCTGCCCCCGCGACCCGGACCCGGATAAGCGGAGGAAGACGAAGACGAAGACGAAGACGAAGAAGTGTTTCAGTGAAAAGAGTTTAAGGTTCTTCAGATGAGAGGTGCTCATACTTTTACAATCTAATGGTTGAGTGATTCACACACTGATCAAAGCCTGGATTGAATCGCTCCCTCGTGCCGAGAGCTGAGAGTGAGTTACAAATTTGCACTTGAAGAGATGATTTCATGAATTTAGAGAGAAGGTAAAGATGGTGGATGTGTGTAGAACTGTTCATTAGTGCTCAGGTTGATGGCATGGTAGGTTGTGCATCTGTTGAGATGTAGGACAGCAGTTTGACCACGGTGCTAACTGATTAGGTTGATCTTCAGGGAGAAGTTTAATCCTCCCCTGAGTGAGGGTGCCATTAAAATGCAGTGACACAAGATTAATGCTCATCTTGTAAGTGACATTTACTTTCTCATTTACCAAAGAACTTGTCTCGTAATATTATCTGCAGTCTTGTTTTGAATGCTGATGAGTTAGAAAAACTCCTCAAATAAGAAACTGTGTAAATGATGCTGGATGAGGAAGTTGAAGAGGAAGAACTTCCAGCTGAGTAAGGGACATGCAGTAAAACAAAACCATCAGCAAAATATTCCTGTGAACTTCAACAAAAGCAGTTTATGAGACGGATTCTGAATCGGCTTAGTGTTGGATAAACATCATCCTCAGCATCAGGACCAGAGCCGCAGTAGCAGGATGACGGGTTTCTACTGAAATAGCAAATAAAGGCTTTCAAATGCCTCAGAAATCATCTAAAATGAATAAATGTGACTTTAACTTTTTGCTGTGACTAAATGGATGATTAAAATAACTAAAATTCATAATTACTGTGTTTTGACTCACATTTTTTGCTTTTCTTTTTTTGTTTGCAGATTTCCATGTGTGAAGTATCTCAACCCACAGAGTCTCCTGTGAGCGTACACACACACACATCAGTGTGAGAGCTAGCGGCACACACTATATGTTAATGTGAGATGACGAGAAACTAAGTGACGACCGCAACCACCAGGATCAGACAGCCTGCTGCGCTGCAAGATGGATTAAAACCCCACACCTCAGGAGATCAAAGGTAGGAGAAAATGTTTAGTAATCAGCAGCCTGTTATGTTCTGTCCACTGATTGCACGGAGAGAGCAAAGGAGACGGAGAAAATGTGGAATAATAATGTGTTAATAATGTGTGTGTAAAGCTGAGGTGTTGCCAACTCATGTAAAATTTTGGGTGTTAAACCGATAGTTTGTTGCATGACAACAACACGTATTGTTTAAACTCATCGGATCTTGATTTTTCTCACATAGATATGGGTCCAGATTAGGCTGGGGTAAAGTCAATAGCAGCAGGCGTCAGCTTGTGTTACTTCCTGGATCAGCTTCTGTCTGTTTTGTTTAGAAATTTTCTCCTGCTCTTTTCATGCTTTGTTTCATCATTTATAGACTAAGTACTGAGTAGTTTTCTTCACTGTTTGAGCTGAGCACACAGTTTTGAAGCTGACATTTAACCCTTTAACTGGCAGCTAGAGTGTTTTTGGTTTCTTTACCTTATTTAAAGTGACAGTGTGTAGTTTTACCTTTTGTAGAGGGTAAATGTTGTTGCTTTTAATCAATCAAATCAAAGATACTTTATTAATCCCAGAGGGAAATTAGAGTTTCAGTACACACAATTCAGAGGTCAGACATACATGGGCAAGACACATGACAAGAATTGGTGACTGGTCATTCGCAACCCTGAGTCGCGCTACCTTAATAGAGATAAGAGGGTAACATGAGGGATTGATTCAGGAGGAGGGGAAAAAAGGCACTTTACAGCTACCCTCCCACCAGGAGGGCAGCTTTGCTCTCAAAAAAACACCTCAAACAGATATGCAATCAACCAGACAATACAATATGATACTCTAATAGGAAGGCAGCGGGGGGGGGGGGGGGGGGGGGGGGGGGCTGGGATCCTGTTTCCCCCAGCGAGAGCAGCCATCTACGGCGCTCAGCCACTGTACAGTCACAGGTGGAAGGGAGATCTTGGGAGAAGCGCAGAGCACATTGACTCCTGCAGGTTGATGACTTCGCCAGGCACAAGTCCTGGGGGGTGGGGGGGGGGGGGGGGGGGTGTCGGGTTTTCACAGCATCTGTCTGCATCTGTCTGCATTCCTTCGTGGGGGTTTGTTGCCAGCCTCTCAAGGCTGTTATGGCATCAGATTCAGATAACAAGACTTTGTTTGGGTCAGGCTGAGATAATTTTCCTCTCTGCCTTCAGTCTTTAAACTGATTAAGCTTAATATATTACCTTTACTTATGACCAATAAGCTGTGATATTCTATATAAATATAGAATATCAACCTGCGTGGTCTTTGGTTGTTTAATCAGATGATTCTAGGATTCTTTGCTTTTTTCAGGGACCAAACACACACTTCGTCTCAATTCAGACAGAGTCAGGTTTATAAAAGATAAGAAATGTATTTTCTAAACAAATAAAAACACGACAAGTTAACCAAGGCTACTGTGATGCATGAATCTAAGAGGATGGGATGTGATGTATGGTGATTTAATGATCTGTGTTCATCAGAACCTTGTATCTAGAAGAACTGAGTTCTGGGTGTGAAAATGAATTTGGTTTGCATTAAACTATGAAGTTGGTTCTTATCAAAATGGCATCAGACGCAATCATACTGTGTTCTACCTCACCCTTTTTGGAGACCCTATTCGTGGGTCTGGAGGTCAGGAAGGTCGGATGACCTATGGGCACCCAGGTCCAGTAGACTCACCGCAGTACCGACTTCTCCAGTCCAGAGATGTCTCCAGGCACACAGGCTGGAACTAGTTTGCATCTAGAAGGACTCTTAAGGAGTCTGAACTGTATCAGCTTTGTTTTGCAGGAACTGTTTGCTGTGTCAGCTTCAGCGTGTAGCAGGGTTTTTGACAGCTTATCAAAAATGCTCTGGGTTAAAGAGGGTTTGCTCCACATGGCCTGTCCGTAGCTTTCTCTAGAACTGACTCACCAAGTGAGCTCTGTTTTAATATTCTCATATTATGATTTCTTGGCCAACCAGGACATGCCATGTTAAGGGGTGTTAACAAGCAAACCTCAGAACATCACGCCTTCTTTCAGATACAGGATGCTCGGTTTGAGGCTAAGAAATTATCTATGTGTCATGACGTTTGACTTAACTTTAAAGGGGCATTATGGAAGTTTGACAGCCAAAACATATATAGAAATAATAAATTTCTTCTTCATACATTCTCCTGCAATGCCCTGGTCCTGTAGAATGAGCCCTGGCATTTTTACTGTGATTGCCTGTTTTTCTGTAAAATCACAGAAAAAGAAAGCTGCTCGGGTCGAGCAGGATGCTTCATGCGCGTTCACGCTCAGGCACCGCCAGTAGCATTTGCTATCAGTAGCTTTAGCAGCAGAGAGAGAGGTAGTGCCAACTCAGCGACTTTGTCTCTGTTCCTAATGCCTAGTGATGAACCTAGCTACATTTCTGAGGACCCATAGCTACTTTCTTCTAGATATTTCCTGCAAATTAGCAACAAAATAGCCATTTTCGCTCCGAACCGTTCTTTGAAGGTTGTTTCAGCTGTCATCAAGGATATAAATATTACAGATACAAATTATGTCAATGGTGCTTTAGCTCACCTAGTAAGATGTTGGACTCTCCTGCAGGAGACCTGAGTTCAATTCTAGATGTGAATATAGTTTATTTAGAGTTTTTTTTATATTAATGGTATATTTTTTTACAGTAAGATGCCCACATTTTTATTTGAGACTCGCCAAAGGCATTGAATTCACAGATAAAAAAAGATGTGGGTTCAACTTTCATTTTGGCACAATTTTTCCCATGACCCATCATAAACCTTTGTCGGCTGTGCTGAAGAGAAAAGTACAGAACCAAAGTATTTAATTAAATAGGTGCGCATTCTCCTGTCCTCTGTCCTCTGGGCCAAACACACACACACACACACACACACACACACACACACATGCACGCACGCACACACACACACACACACACACACACACACACACACACACACACACACACACACACACACACAGGACTGTCTCAGCTGTTATTTCCGTTAAGGAGTGTGCACGTGCAGCATGCGCGCCTCGTGCACGAGCCTACTATTGAAGCTGCCGTTACGCTTTTGGCCTGAGGGGGCAATCGCGAGCATAAAAATTCAAAACTCCGTGAAGTCCCTTTAATTTATCTCTAATGAACCTTGTGTCAGAGTGTAGATAATGATTCACTTGCCATATCAAACATTACTGATCATCATATATATAAATCTTTCAATGTAATAATAACATTCATTTCAAACTTCAGTAATTCAAGCACAGATTAATCAAGACATTATTATTATTCATATAACATTTGCTCATTTCATGATTGATTGATTAACTCATATGAGCTGAAAATAGTCACTTTATTCAGAGAGTGAGCAATTCTGCGGTGTTATCAAAAGAATGCTTTGTTTGGGAACACAGCATGACATCTTGTTCCTCCTGAAATGTCAACAAGGCTGCAGTATCCTTCTGTGTTTGTAGGAAGCTAGGATGTAAAATCCACTTTAGAGAATGGAAGTTGTGTCTGCAGATGACTGGTGGCATTTAGGTCAATCTGTAGGTAAAGACTGACCATTGCTGGACGTCACACCTTTAATCTCTGGACATATCCAACGAATAGTTGTTGAAAATGAACAAAATGATGTCCAGTTGTTGAAAAGTATTGGTGGCTTTGTAATCTATAAAATGCTTTCATGTAAATAATGATTCAGTGTCAAAATTAAAGGTGTGGTTGACTGACAAACCATTTTAAAAAGATTATTTCTGTTTAAAATCGGTCACTCTGAGCTTTTCACACAGGCTGAACATGAAAACAGTCTCCTACACCCATCTCCTGCTTTAGCTTCTGATAGAAAATAGATGGTGAAATGCTAGGATTTGAAAATGTTCACACTGTGTGATCACACTGTTAATTTGCATTCATGGCTTCACCTATCTTGGCTCATGCCCACCCACAGGCTGGCTTTTTTTTATGTTTGCAGCGAGACGAGAGAACGGAGAGTGTGTTGGTAATAGTGACTTTGCAACATGGCTGAACACATTCTATTAGCCAATCAGGTTTGTGCCTATGATTAATAATAATGAACAATTCTGCTATTTTCAGTCCACCTCTGCACCTGCAAACGTCTGCATCTCAAAACAGGAGCAGCATAGCCTTTTTTAAATGACTCATCAGGCATCGGTTTACAGTAAAAAACACTACAAATGCATTGAATAAATGAGAAAACAACATCTTTAACTCATTCACTGCCAGCCGTTTCCTGATCGGCCCTTCTCTGCCAGCGTTTCTCACCGTTTTTACAGTTTTTTTTAAGAGTCACAGAACGTTGTGCGCTAGGATGATGTTGACGCCAAAACAACCAAAACAAAGAGGAGACTGACCTCTTACATCAGGAAGAATCCGTGTGTTTCAAGCATTATCCGTTATTTCACAATCCGTTGTTGTAATGAGATCGACAGATGCTTTTCTGGTTCTCGCCTCACTTTTTTTTACAGGAACGGCCCAAAACGATCTCCTAACACATGGATGCTCTACTTCCTGATCATGTGACGTGTAACGTATGTGGATGAAGATCAGCTTCAGAGCTGAGATGTTTGTTCTCTCGGCGCGGGGGCTCGTTCTGATGCCCAAATAGTAAAAAAAAATGCAAATGACGACTTAGTCGTCATTTGCAGTGAACGGTTGGATCTAAAATGACGACTTTAGTCGTCAATGGCAGTGAATGAGTTAATCTTCAGAGCAATAAAGTTAAAAAGAAAGTAATATTTGGCTTCCCAGTATTTTGTCATTGGTGTTAAAGATTTTTAACGCTCTTCTAAAGAACATCTATGTCTGGTTGCCTTTTGGAATAATGGGCACTTGTGACTAGAGTCAGCAAAACCAGAGTTCCACATGACACCATTCTGCTGACCTTTAACCTTCTCTCCTACATTGTGACAGCATAAAAGCAAGTGGGCTCATTTCAGCGTACGATGGTGTTCTGCTCTCCTTTCCTGTCAGGAGAGCCTTTCT